AACTTCTACTGAGGAGCTGTTGAATATTTATCACCTCCACAAACTCACCAACCATCCCCAATTTATTTTGCATTTTAAGTAAAATATTTGATTGCAAGGCATACATACCAAAATAAACACTTAAATAACTACATAACAATCGCCAACTCAGGAGAAGAGAAAAACAAACACACAATTTGATATTTAATTGTTATCTTTTAACCAATTCCTTGTCATTTGTTTCATAATTGTTATTGTTGTTACGAGAAATAAGTAGGAATCTTTAGTTTTTTAATTCCCTCTGGTATTTTCCCAAGTTGTAAAGTTAGTGGGTTCTTGTTTAGAGAAATTACAACAAATATTTGACAGTATCATGTTGAGTATAGGGCCTTTTCCGGCGAAGCCCCTCCCTTTCCGGGGGAGCTCCATGGGACCTTATTTCGGAAAAAATTATGTATTGAAGTCAATGGCGAGAGAAAAGTTATCTTTCGATCCCGTTTGAATTGTGCCACGAATTACACATATGATGTTTGTCAATTTCAAAGATAATTTTGCAAGTCAAAATTTTTAAAATGTGTGGTAAAACTGTGAAGTAACACTTTGTTTTGTGAACCGCTCAATGAGCTACCTCTCCCGTCTCGCACCACACACCCAGCCGGCCGTCACGTTGGAACATTTCACTTCTTTCTTTCAGAATGAGGCGGAAAGTATTAAAAGAGGTGAAAATCACTCCAGGTCTTGAGAGCTGTGCACACACACAAGGGGAGTTAGTCGGTTCATAAGAGCCAGCATGCGGGACCGGGACTCTGGGATTTGTAGTCTTTCTAGTTGCGTATTTTTCATAGTCTTATATTTCAACAGTTTTACGACAAGCTGACTTTTTTTACATGGAAATGATTGTTTTAAATTGACAAACATCACATGTGTAATTCGTGGCACAATTCAAACGGGATCAAAAGATAATCTTTCTCTCTCCATTGACTTCAATACTTTTTCCGAAATAAGGTCCCATGACTTCGCCTCTCTATTCAATATTATATCCAATCTAGTATTTTTCTTTCCGTTTTTTTTTTACAAATCGCATCAATTTGAGTTTGGTAATTGATTTTCTTTCAGAACTCTAGAGTTTTTTTTCCTGATGATGAATTCTCATAATCTCAGAATTCATGAATTAATTTTTGAAAAAAAAGGTTTACATTTTTTTTCTTCTGAAAACATATTTACAAGAAATCTGAAAAAGTACAAAATCCTGAGAATGATTTTCAAAACATTTCTGGATTCTGGAAACATGTTTTTCAAAATCACTTTATTATTCTAAAGATCTTTTGTCCTAAAAATCTTTTTTTTTTTTGATAATCTCAGATTTTTTTTCTGAGAAAAAGTCAGAATTCAGAAATAAATATTTGTATGAAGAATTGTTATTCTCACGCTGCTCTTTGAATTTCAAACTGTTGTGATCATCAGCATTCAGTGCACTCACGCTGCTCTCCTGGATCCAGACGTTGACCTCGTCGTCGCTGATCTCCTCGCTGCAGCTGTTGACCAGCCGCTGCATGGCGTCCTCCTGCAGCCGCATGCCGCTGCAGCTCTCCTCGTGCAGATGCTTGTATCTCTGCCACAGCTGCAGCAGAGCCTCGCTGCTCCTCCTGCGCTCAGAGATCTCCTCCAGGAGCCCCGTCCACCTGCGGCAGGTCAACAGAGAAACACACGTCTAACTTTAAGTCTTTTTTTTTGATGCGACAGAATCCATTTTAAGACCAGTTTTACAACGACTAACATTCTATATATGTTCTATATATGTTTTCTTTATCTATTGTTTTAAATATGATTTGGTTGGTGCGGTGAAAAGAGTTATATTATAGATGGAATAGATTGAAGGAACCATTTTGAGATTTACAATGCAACAGAAAAGAGATTCCACACATTTCTAAAACCTGCAGACTTGTTTCTTTCTCCAGACTTATCGAAGACATTTGAAAATAGTCTCTAGGGGCTGTGTGAATGTGATATCAGCGGGGGAGGGGGATATCAGCGGGGGAGGGGGATATCAGCGGGGGAAGGGGACCTTGCGTTGACGTCCTGCAGGCTGTTGTTCAGCGAGTCGGACAGCGAGGGGTGGCTCTCCTTCAGCAGCTGGTGGGTCACCGCTCCAAACCTCCTCACGCTGCTCTCCTGCTTCTCCAGATCCTCCTGGAGCTCCTGCACACATGGGGTCACATCTCAATCTTGCATAAATCATATATTATTGATTACAGTATATATAAATACAGTGACGTGTTACCTGGAGGCTCTGCACCTGCAGCTGCACGGCCTCCAGCGAGCCGGTGAGGAGGCGGAGCCTAGAGACGGAGTACCGCCCCTCCATCAGCCGAGCGTTGATCTCCTCTGAGGCGCCGCGGTACAGAGTCCATTGATCCAGCACTGAGGAGAGGCTGAGCTTCAGCTGACCCACCTGAGGCAGGAGGGGGGCAACCAATCAATCAATTAACCAATTAACCAATCAATAAATCAATCAATCAGTCAACCAACCAATCAATCAATCAACCAATCAGACAATCAATAAATCAACCTATAAATAAATAAATAAACCAGTCAATCAACCAATCAACTAATCAATCAACCAATCAATCAATCAATCAGTCAACCAATCAATCAATCAATTAATCAACCAGTCAACCAATCAATCAATCAATACACCTATCAATCAATTAATCAATCAGTCAATCAATCAATCAATCAGTCAGTCAATCGACAAATCAGTCAATCAACCAACCAATCAATCAGTCAATCAATCAATACACCTACCAATCAACCAATCAATCAATCAATCAATCAGTCAACAACTGTATTAATCCCGAGGGCCAGTTGGCTGTGAGCAGCTTCTGTACCAGGCCCCGGAGCCTGATGTGGATCATTCACACACAGCGTCAGATCAGAAGTACTTTGGAAGAGGAGGAGGAAGAGGAGGAGGAGGAAGAGGAAGAGGAGGAGGAGGAGGAGGTGGAAGAGGAAGAGGAGGAGGAGGAGGTGGAACATCAGATCAGGGAAATAGACAGAGATAAATGGAGTCTCACCAGGTGGTCCAGGTGAGCCCAGGTGTGGTTGACGCCCTGCAGCGTCTCCATGACGATGGCGCATGCTTCGTCCGTCTTGTTCTGCACGAGAGCGCAGCCCTGCTCCTCCACCTGCTGCAGGTCCTGCTCCTTCTGCTTCACCTGCTGCTCCGTCTCCTGAGGACAGAGACACCCAGGTTACAGAGACAACATGTCTCCTGAGGACAGAGACACCCAGGTTACAGAGACAACATGTCCCCTGAGGACAGAGACACCCAGGTTACAGAGACAACATGTCTCCTGAGGACAGAGACACCCAGGTTACAGAGACAACATGTCTCCTGAGGACAGAGACAACCAGGTTACAGAGACAACATGTCCCCTGAGGACAGAGACACCCAGGTTACAGAGACAACATGTCTCCTGAGGACAGAGACACCCAGGTTACAGAGACAACATGTC